TGTTCCCGCCCGGGTTCGAACCGGGGACCTTGTGCGTGTGAAGCACACGTGATAACCGCTACACTACGGAAACAACTGGCGATCCGTTGGCTCAATACAGCTTTCATAGGTCGGCGACACTTTGGAAGCCGGGCAAATAACTGTAACACTGTGGCCATAGCCCAACCTGTGTATTGTGCCTAACTGCGGAGTTTGGCAAACTGGTGGGGCACACCCACAGTTAATTGGCAACTCGCCAAACGGCCCACTTTCAATGGCTGCTCAATTGGCACCGAGGGCACATGAAGCATTCGAGGCATTCGCTGAAGTTGAGAAATGCCTGAAACATGCACACAGATTACCAAGTCAAGTTCCAACAAGCCCCTCCCAGCCGACCCCGTTACGGCACACCTTTAAATAAATTTTGCCCATGCTGATCCTTTATTAAAATTCCTATTGTCTGTGCTGGCCTGCAAAGATTTTGCCATTCCCCTCGCCCCCTTATCGCCTGCCCCTGGCATCAATTAATATGCAGGCCAAGAACGCTCTCTAACTGCTCGCACTCGTTATAATTACGCATTTAAATTGGCACAAAGGTTCGGCCTAGAGAATGGGGGTGGCAATGGGAATGGGAATGGGAATGGAAATGGTGGATAAATGCGACGATGGAGACAGAGTCCAGGCCAGGGATATTCTAGTCATGGATGTGAATGTTGAGCTAGCTTTTGGCTTGCTATTGTTGTTGTTGCTATACCTTAATAACTGAGAGTATTATAAATTTATAGGCTAAATAGGAGACAATGTATATATGTATGTATATGGTATAAAATATAGTAAACATAAAAATACATTATTAAATTTCATTATTAACTGTAATAAATTAATATCGTTTTTCATTACAATTTATTTCCAACTAGTATTATTTGATAGTAGTCCTATAAATGTGAATTAAAATTGCAAAAATTAGCTTATCATGTCAAATAACTATTATCTAATCTGAATTTAGCATGCTGTTTAGAGATTATCAATGGAATTTCACAGGAAACATTCATATGCCCTGAGCCATGGCAAAGGTATTTAATCTTCGGCAATCCAGAGATAACTTGTTATTCTTGTTGTTGTTGTTGTTGTTGTTGCTGCTGTTGCTGCTGCTGCTGCTGTTTCTGCTATTTCTGTTTGGCATGGCCCCATAAATTTGGGTCAATGGGAAAAATGTCAGAATTGAGTAATTACAACATAATTTTCAATTTTGCAGTTTACGTTGTAAATTAATTTGCGGTCGACATTTGCAAAGCGGACTGAGACCACCGCCACCACAGGCGCGCATTGTTTGGTACGGCTTCTGGACTGCGCCTATAAGCAAGCCCAATCCCAATCCCAATCCCCACCCCAACCGTCAGCCCCCAGCTTCCAGCCCCGCCCTCGAGTACTGCCAGTCGCAGTCGACTCGAGTCTATGCTGATGAAGCACACAATCGTGACTGGGCGCGGCTTCTGTGGGGGGCTTTGTTGGGGTCAGAACAATTATAGCAACAATTAAGGGGCAGCTGGCGTGGATTTGTATGTGTCTGTGTGTGTCTGTGAGGGGGTCGAGCGCGTCATTTGTTGTGCATAATTAATTTGCAGTTATTTTGCACGTTTCTTTGTTTGTTGTAATCACAGCGAGGGTCGCGGGGGGTTGGGCAAGAACTGTTTACGATTTTACAGTCCAGCGCGTTTTAATTGAAAAAAAAAAGACAAGCCAGTGTCAACGACACATGTGAAGCAGCAGTAGCAGCGGTAGCCAAAGCAGGGGGCGTGGCATGGGGCTCTAGTCAACAGCTGTGAGCCAAGAATCACGAGTGGGAGCCTGGCCTGGCTTACATAGGATGCAATAAAAAATTGACCCGAAAATGTGTAACAAATGCTGTGACATATTTTCACCAAACGATAACCCACACTCACACACACACATACATACATACAGCAAATACCCCGTTAGCCGCTGCCAATGATCCTGAAAAGGAATGAACGGAAAAGCGACTCGCAAAGGGTGTTCCAAATGGGGCGTAGTTTGTAGCTAGGGGCAGCTTTGAAGTCAAGGGGCTCTACGGGTGTGTGTGTGTGTGTGTGCAAGTGTGTGTCTGTGTGTAGTGAAAATCGGTTGCGGGCAACATTTGTTTTGGGCTACAGCACAGCAAATGTGCAAAAATGAATATCAGGAAAAAAGCAAGAGAAACAAAAACAAAAACCAAAACCAAAAAAAAAAAAGAATAAAATAAAGTCAGGCAAATGGCGAAAATCTGTAACTGTAACTGCAACATGGCATGAACTTAATCTGCTGCCGATTGTCCTTGTTGTTATTGTATGGTGTTTGTGTTGTTGTTGTTGTTGTTGCCAAGGGTTTGTTGCTCAATTTGTTGGCCGTGCATGGCGGCAGCAGCTACTTTTAGTAGCAGCATGTTTATGGATGAGTGGGCGGAGGAGATAAGGAGGAGGGTTGAAGGGAACCAATCCGAACCAAATACCGCCGCATTTTCAATATTGCGGCAACAATTTTCATCGTTGTTTGTATTTGCGAGCTGTGTAATAATGAAAGCAACGATTTGGGCGTGTAACAGTCACGCGCTCACTCCTGCTCCCAATTCGCCCTTTTTGCATGGGTTTTGCGGATTGAGGCTTGCGGATTGCGGGCGGCGGAGTGCGGACTGCGGAGTGCGGACTGCGGGTTACGGGTTACGGTTCACGGGGCGGCTGGGAGGTCAGCTCGACTCGAGTCGACTTGCCTCGACTCGGCACGGGGTGTTCATTTAATTGAAAACAACGCGACGGCACTTAAAGTGAAACCGAAAACAGATGGAAACGAAAAACTTACAATAATTGCTTGGAAGGCGCTTTAATCGACTTGGGGCTGCTGCCCAGCTGCAAAGTTGAAATTCGCTAAAGTTGGGGGTCCCAAAGCAACAGCAACAGCTACAGCCAGGGCAACAGGAACAGCAACAGCAGCTAAAGTTCAACCCGAAACTCAAGTGTGCAGCTAATGAATTCTTTATAGAGCTTCGTATCAAAATTATTGAGCCATTTCCTTAATTAACAGCGCATTAAGACAAAGAGAAACTTGAGAACGGCTCGGAAAGACATTTAATTTTTTGATTTGATTGTTTTTTACTGTGTAACACATTGTCTGCTGGGGTTAAGCTATGCGTGTATATTTAAATAATTTATTAGTTATTTCATTACGAACTCAAAAGTAAGCAAGATCACAAATGATCGTTGGGATGGAAGTTAGAGTAAAATAAGTTCCATTTCATTTACAGTTTCTATTGAATAGGTATTAAGCTAGAAATACTTTTATGTATATCCAACTTGACTCTTTTGAAGCAGTTCAGGCTGAAAGAAAAAATAAAATAATTTTTTTAAAAGTGAGAAATAGATGCAGAGTTGTTAAAATTATTGATGGCATTATCGATTTACCCTAATTATTTCCTCCATGAATTTCCTCACAGTATTTCCTTTAAGCATTTCCTCTCAAATATTTCCTCTAATATTTCCTCCAAGTATTTCCTCACAGTATTTCCTATAAGTATTTCCTCTCAAATATTTCCTCTAATATTTCCTCCAAGTATTTACTCCAAGTATTTCCTCTCAGTATTTCCTCCAAGTATTTCCTCTAAATATTTCCTTTAAGTATTT